AAAAAAAAAAAAAAAAAAAAAAAAAAAAAAAAAAAGACTGGTAAGCCTGAAGGTGTTTAAATAACTAGAAAACATCATGAAAACCTAAAATGTTCAGAATGCAAAGGAAATCAAGCTACTGAAACATAAATTATTTCTCTCATATGCCTAAATAGATTTCAGACTGATTGTTAACTTACTTGGATTTTCATATGGGTTTCTCCCAGAATTCAGTTGTACTTCTAGATGCAACAAGATAAACACCCATTCTAGAGTCTTGGATGTGTATTATGCCTTATATCAGAGGAGACTTGAAGAAAGGGTGTATTTTCCTTTTTTTTTTTTTAATATCTCTGACATAACTTTCCAGATTTTTTTTTGACTGCTGCCAATTACTACTTTACATTTGTTATGACTCAGTCATTTAGAGAATAGTTGGGGTTTTTCTGGTTGGTTGGTCTTTTTGAAAGAATAATGCTTTTAAAACCATAAAAACTAGTGAAGATATGCAGAATAAATATGGTGCAACTTCAATTTTATGCAGTTAGTCTGATGTCATGTTGATAGTACCTCTTCAAGTTTGGACCTACCATGGTCAAGTCAATCCTGTATTTTTACTTATGGAAATGGTTTGTTTTGCTGATATGACCTATATAGCTCAGAAAATACTTTATCTTGTACTACAGTCAGTGCCAGTGTTTCTAGAGCTCTGAGTAATGCATAACTGCATCCTATAAAAGAGTAACAAGTACTGTGTTTGAAGTTTTGGTTTGTTGTTTTTGTTTTGTTTTTGTTTTTTTTTTCTGAAGGAGTCTTCACACCTATGCTGTTTGCAGTGAAATTCTGGATAATGTACAGTACCACAACTATTCTGTATTAACATGTATCATTCTCTTTACAGAATCTTCTGGGGAAGAAAATCAGCACTGGACATACTTTAGAATAATTTTAAACTTCACTGTCTATGAAGGTGAAACTGACCCAGGTACTCTTAAGCCTAAATCAAGGTATGTTGAAGTCAGTGGAGCAACTGCACTCATTTCAGTGGTATTCAATATGAACTATCCTTTTGTCCCAGTCTGTGTTCTGGGAAAATACATATACACATATATACATACACACACTATTTTATGAAGTACTTTTTTAGTAAATGTTTCTGTTTGACTGCTTCACCTCACTCCCAAGCAAATAGTGGATCTAGTGTCTCTCTCTCGTTACTATGTTTCTTTTGTTACTTCTCCATTTATTGACCTGCAGAATGAATGCTAAATAAGGCTATAAAAAGCCTTAAATGAATGGTAGACCTGTATAATATCTGCTATCCTTTCTAGAAGTATTAAAGCACAGGATGTATCACTCCTCTGCTCTTAGCCTTGCACATTTAGATTTTAATTCATCTAAGGACACCTTTCACTACTCTTGTGAAAGAGGATACTCTATCTGATCAAAACAATGTATTTCCGTTAGAAGCACCTGTCTTAAATATGCAGTTTAATTGTTTCCCAAGTAGCTTCATTTAACTTCTGAAAGTTTTGGCCTCCACAGAGCCAGGATGCTAATTAGAAGGAAAACTGGCCTTACAGTAGTTGAAGAATTGTGTCTTCTTTAAGAGAGCGAGAAGTCTTATTCAATCATTGACACAGTGTTTCTGTCAGAAAGTAGGAATAAATGCCAGTTATATGAACTCAGAGAATACCTGTGACGAGTTATTCTCACAGTCAAATAACCTCTTCAGACAGCCAACAACAGTAAGCCTAATAATGATTAAGTAAGCAATGTTAAGATGTCCATCAAGTTCCACACAGTCCAAGCAATATCTTTTATAACTAGCATCATCTGTCAGCTCCGGTGTCCCTAACTCAGTGGGTTAGGTATATATGGAGGGTGACATATGAATGCTTGGATTGCTTTCCTAGGCAGCCAGAGTGTCAGTAGTAACATGTCTGGCCTTTGTCACATCTATGCTGCTGTTATAGAAAAGCTTTTAAAAGTCTGACCAAAAAAATCTATACAGGACTAAAGAGTAAGTGTAAAGATAAAATGTAAACAAAATTAAACCAGACATGAATGATAAAAACATAGGTTATATTAATGAATGTTATCAAGACTTGTTAAAATAATTTAAAGTTTTGTATCAATGGTCAGGCCTTTAGAATCTGTATAAAAAATCAGTAACAAAAGGATAATCCTTCTCAGTCTCAACAGCAGTTACAGGGAAGTTGATGCTAAGGTCAAGCAACAAGGCAAGACCAATACTAGTGCCAATGAACCTGTCAACATTAAATGCTTCTTTTTCAGAGAAGTACTTTAACACTTCAATATTACGTGATTCAGACTGTATTTTGACATGGTAAGTTTTTTTCCATTGATTCTTAGGTGAAACTAAAGCAATCAGACATACTAGAGGCCAAGCAGACAAGGCTGTCCCAGAAAAAGGACAGACCTTCAAAGTCTGAAGGTGACATTGAAGGAATCCAGAAACAGATACAAATAAGCCTAACTGATTCAATAGATATTTTACACTCTCTGTATGTACTTGCATTTCTGAGCTTGGCAGCCACACAGGTGCTGGCATTGCTACTTATTCTGAAATTACAGTCTGTATCAGATTGTGTACTGAGGAAAGGAAGAAGCTTCTACTACCATAGACAGCATCAGAATTCACAGTTCCTGCAGCACCTAAAAGAAATGACCAGACCAAGTGAAGTTTCCAATGAAACCAGCATGTGTTTGTCAGTTAAAAGAAGAATTTCATCTACAGAGAGGGAAAACAATTTTAAACACCACTTCTCCAACCAACACACAAGATCTCAGTGCTGGATTCGGAAATTATACTGGCATGGTGCCCTTTGCCCATGTTGACAATATTTCCGAGTGTGCTGCCTTATTGTTTTTATGCCAGCTTGATATTACAGCAGTTCCAATGAGAGGAAATAACTTGAGAGATTTTTTCCAGTGCCAGACTTGATGCCAATGCCTTTTTGAAACTTCCCACCTTCTTCCACTCAGCATAACCAAACACAAAACAGATGGAGCCAAGACAAGTGATCACCAGCAGGAGATACTGTATTTCCTTACCTTCTCCCAGATCAAGGTGAAAACAATACCACTCTTTAAGTATGGGCTTTATTCCAAATACAGTGGTAGCTTTGCTATTGTAGTTACCAGGCTGTAATGTAGGAGTCTTACCCCATTTTTATCAATTATCTCATTGAAAGGAAGGACAAGTTGCAAGTCTTCTTTCTGCAAGATAATCTGTGACAAGTTTGAGAGGTGGTGGACCACATACTACTGGTTGGTCAGCAACTAGAGCCTCAAAACTAGTGATAGATTAAAAAGTCCTCTCAGAATTTTGCTAGGGAACAATTCTACCAGTGTGTGAGCATTAAAAAAAAAAAAAAAAAAAAAAAAAAAAA